TCATCACTACTTCGTGAACCCTAAACGGCAGGGTGAGCACCGTTTGCTGATGCATGACCGCCAGGCGTTTTGCCAGCTGGGCAGCAGACCAGTCCTTATCTTGTTTGCCGGCAATATGTACGGTACCGCGATCAGCCTTAAGCGTGCCCGCCACAATCTTAAGCAGGGTCGATTTACCGGCGCCATTGGAACCGATGATCACGACTACCTCGCCTGGTTTTACGCCAAATGATACATCGTTCAGAATAGACAGGTGCCTGATGCCAAAACCTATATTACGTACCTCTATCATTACAGGATCATTTTAGAACGCTTCTCGCGGAGCAGCAGGTAAATGAAGAAAGGACCACCCACCAGCGATGTCAGGATCCCGATCGGTAGCTCATTAGGCCCGAATGCCGTACGGGCAATCAGGTCAGCATTCATCACCAGTACCGCGCCCGCCAGGGCCGATAAGGAAAGTAAGTGACGATGGTCGGGGCCAACGATCATACGGATGATATGCGGTATGATAAGCCCCACAAACATAATGATACCGGCAATAGCCACGGATGCACCCACGCACAGCGCAGAAAGCACAATGACCGTTCTTTTTACCCGTTCGGTATTGATGCCCAGGTGGGCAGCGTTGCTCTCGTTAAGTGCAAATGCATTCAATGACTTGGCCATGCGCGGCAGTATCAGTACGGCAATCAGTGTAAACGGAAGAATGCCCAGTACATTGGTCCAGGTAGCGCCACCAAGGCTGCCCAGTGTCCAGAATGTAATACTTCTTAGTTGTGATTCTGTAGCGGCATAGGTAAAGACACCGGTGCAGGCAATGGCAATTGCATTAATGCCCACACCTGCCAGCAGCATCATGGCCACATCTGTCCGTCCTTTTACCAGCGACAGCCGGTAGATAAGAATGGTACTGGTAAGGGCGCCCAGGAAGGTAACTGCCGACAATGCATAAATGCCAAGCAACCCACTTAATGCACCCAATATTTTAGTGCTCATCACAATAAAGCCAACGGCTGCAAAAGAGGCACCCGATGAAATGCCGATCAGCCCCGGATCCGCCAGGGGATTACGGAATAAGCCCTGCATAGAGGCCCCGGAAATGGCCAGGGAAGTACCGATCAATATGCCCAGGATCACCCGTGGCAGGCGGATGCCCATCAACACAGATGCCTGTATTTTTTCAAAAGGAAGCCCCGACTCTATACCCAGTGAATGAAGGAAAATGCCGCTGATCTCTGATGGGGATATGGGTAAAGCACCTAACCCTGTTCCGAGGAACAGGGAGAGGATCAATAGTATAAATAGAATGGCATAACACCATTTAGGGGACAACAACATCCGCCAGTTTTTTAGATAATTCAGCAATTGCCTGCCCCGTACGTGGGCCAAAGCCCGTCAGGTATTGGCCATCCATTTCAATCACACTTCCGTTCTTGCCGGCATTGGTCTGAGACATGCCCTGTACGGCTTGCAATCCCTTCAGGCCACCCAGGCTGGACAAGCCGCTGTCAAACATCAGGATCACATCGGGGTTAGCAGCTACCAGTGCTTCTGCAGTCAGTGGCTTGAAATCCTCAAAGCCAGTCACTGCATTTTTACCACCAGCCAGGCTGATCATTTTATCAACCTCGGTATTGGCGCCGCCTACCATCATGGTACCTGCACCACGTGCATAAATAAAAAGTACCGCAGGTGTTTTGGCAGGCTTTGCAGCCGCTTGTATATCCGCATCTATTTTTGAAGTCAGTGCAGCAGACTGAGGACTCATACCCAGGGAATCGGCCACCGCGCCAATCAGTTGCTTGGCACCATCAACGGAGTATTCATGGTCAAACAGGATCACCTTGATATTGGCAGATTGCAGTTGGGTGATCAATTCAGGGTTCAGCTTCGAACGGGTACCTACGATCAGGTCCGGCTTCAGG